ATCCCATCCCATCCCATGGATCCCATCCCATCCCATCCCATCCCATGGATCCCATCCCATCCCAACACTGTCACAGCTGTGGACCCAACACACCCCAGACCCTCAGCCCTGACCACTTCTCTCATTTCCCTCTTTTCCAGCCACTCCAACCCAAGAGGACTCCGGCAAAACTGATTTCCTGGGAATGTCCCTGACCAAAAGCCAAGCCACGGCGGGTGGCTGGGTCCTGCTCGCCCTGGCACTCGTCTTCCTCATCACCACCATCTTCCTGGGTATCAAATTCTCCTCAGCCAGGAGAAAGTCCTTAATCTCCAGCTCAGAAATGGAACTGAAATAAAGCAGCTGCCAGCGGGCAACAGAGACAGGGTACAAGCGTGGGCACTTGGCCAGGCTGGCAACCATGCCATGGGCACACTTTGCCAAGGAAGCCATGGTTCTYCACAACCCAGGACTCCTCTCTCCTATCAGGTCAGACATTCCTTTCCACTATGCAAGAGCCAAAGCAGAGAAGAGCTATTTATTTGTCAATGTCTGCATCAGGGGAAAGAGAAATTCAAGGCTCCGGCAGGCACGGAGCCATCACGAGCTGCCCTTGTGCCCGGGGCTGGAGCTGGTCCAGTCTGGTCACCCACCAGCCATTTCTGACCTGTGGGCAAAGCCACAGAGACTCGAGGGATGGAGGGCAGTCAGGGGAGGGATGTCTGGAGCATATTCCTCCCCCTGGTTTGCCTGCTGCCAGGCTGTTCGCTTGCATGGATGAAAAATAAACCTTTGTCTTGTCACCCTCCCAGCAGCAGCTCAGATTCTTCTTGTGGCTGGGCTGAGGGTTTGGTGGGATGAGAGAGCTGCCACCCCAACCCAGGGCAAACAGAAATCCCTGGGGACCAGCCTGGCTTGGAGGTGACATAACCACAGCACTCCGTCAAAGCTCAGCATCACTTTGCAGCGTCTGCATCTCYCCTGAATCGCTGCTCCCATCAGAGCTGACAGCCCGTGGGTTCACAGCGAAACCCGTGCCCGAGGGAGGGGCTRAATCTGGGCCAGAAATCCCCAAAGTCCAGACACGAACTGTTCAAAGGGCTGGGGGGTCACCGAGCCCGAGCTGGGACCAGGCTGCAGCTCAGCGCTGCTGTGATTCCRGCTCTCAATGACAAATTTACGTAAGAGCCGGGGAGGGGGGTCCAAGGTCAGCGATCTCCTCCTGCCCTCCAGCTCCTGATTATCTGGGGATCAGCTGCTCTCGGCACCCCCCGCCCCGTCCCCCGGCCTCGTCTTTCTTCTGCTTCTGTAAATAAAACTTCGTATTTGTTCTGCGGTGATTAGGTGCAAAACTAATCCCAGGCCGGGGATTATTGCAGCCTTAAAGAGCTGTGATCTGCTGCAGCCCGGAGCGGCTGGGGGAAATGAGGGGATCTGGATGATCCACCCATCCGATGGGCTCTGCCCTCGGCCGGGGGAAGCGGAGGCTCGGCAGAGCTCTCCCCGCACCTGGCAGGCGAGCAGGAGCCAGGTGTCTCCTCGCCCACGCTCGGGTGTTTGTTTGCTTGCCGTCCTCCTCCACCCACGCCGAGGTGACACCGAGATTTTTCTGCCGAGGTCCCCGAGCCCCGCGGCCGCATCCTCATCCTCATCCTCATCCTCATCCTCATCCTCATCCTCATCCTCATCCTCAGTGTCTGTTTTCCATCCCGACACGCCGGGCTCTGTCCTCTCCCCTTTCCTGGCACGGTGAGGATGCCAAATATATTTTCAGCCCCGGTGCAGGTGTGCTCCATCCAGCTCAGCTCCTCGCTGGTAATTTTGAGCTCCTTGGCTCCTTTCTGCCCCATTAGGAGAGGAAAAGAGGTCTCCGAGATCATCAAGATCCTGCAAGTTTCATGAAAATTGCTTTCTGGAGAAGAGGATATAAAAAAAAATAAAAATAGAAAAGAGCCGCGCCGAACGCCGTCACTCAGGGACTGCAACACGGGCTCAGCCCTAATTAGACATCAGAGAATCCACACWGGAGATGAGTTTGGACACGAGGGTGGGTGAGGGTGGACTGAGCTGTGTCCAGAGGTGGACACAGAACCCAGACCATGCAGAACAAAGGCAGACACCGGGCTCCTCCAGGGCAGGTGCAGCAGGTGGGATTGGACAGCAGCCAACCTCGCACACGGGGCCAAGGTCCACGCAGCAGATGGGATGGGATGGGATGGGAATGGGGTTGGACACCGGGATACCTCCGACACAGCTCCAAAGTCCACCCAGGAGACCGGGCTGGACAAGAATTTGTGCCCGTCCAGCCCTGCGGGAGAGTGAAGGTCCCACCCCGAGCTGAACTGGAGCTTTTTGGCTAAAATGGGGGTCCTGGGTGAAACTTTTGAGGGGCAGCAAGGTCCAGCTGGCGCCCCGAGGGCTCTGCCAAGCCGGCAGCAGTGTTTTACAAGATAGCTTTAAACCGAGGATGATTTCCCTTCCCCGTTGTGATAACATCTGGAGAGATTTTGCTGCCTTCTGGCTCCTGCATCATGCTTGCTGCTGAAATTAGGAGGCTCAGCGAAATCACTCCCTAAGGAGAAAAAAAAA